AAGTGGCACTGGGGCAATGGGTTCTCCACCTGTTGAAGACTACATCTGTATCCTTATCTCATACTGCACTCAAAAATTAACTCAAAATTTGTCATAGAGATAAATGTAAGAGCTAAAATTATAAAACTATTAGAAGAAAATCCAACAGTAAATTATAATGATCTTAGGATAGACAGTGGTTTCAATGATTTCTGTTTCTTTCTTTTTTCTTTTAAAGACAGGGCCTCACTATGTAGTTAAGGCTGGCCTTGAACTCAGTGTATCATCAAGGCTGGTCTGCAACTGGTGGCTATCCTCCTGCCTCAGTTTCCAGTGTGCTGGAATTACAGGTGCATGCCACCATGTTGGGCTCTTTTCATTTGGTTACTTTTCATAACATCTTTCTTTGCTAATATATTTTTTATTTGTTTCAAGAGAGTTTTTCATTGCTTGTTGAATTATTTTTAATATAGGCTTTAAGATACTTGTCTCAATTAAATGTGTCTGATAAGTCTATCATCTGGGTCATCTAGGGTAGTGACGTTATTAGTTGTCTCATCTTATTCAGTTTGGAATTTCCATAATTCTTGTTATGACAAGTGATTTTTCACTTTTATCCTGGACATCTTGGATATTGTGGGATCAGAGCCCGGGTCTTATTTAAATCTGAGTTACAAGCTTTCTCTGACATTGCATCACTGGATAAAAGAGGCCCCTGCCTCACTCTGCAGAAGCCCAGGGTCCTCCCCAGGCCTCTGCTGACCCACCATGGCTGGGAAGATGCAAAGCTGCTCACTTCAGCTCCTGGCTTAGTCTTCAGAGACATGGGAGGGAGGGGGCTTGGTGCCACCAGGCAGGGATGAAGTCCTGGCTGCCACTTGGTTTATCTGGCTGTGGCGGCAGTGCAGAGGGGACTTTGGAGAACTGAACTGTCACATGTAAGTACCCTGCTAATCCTGTATATGAGGCTGTGAGAGTTCTTTCTCTGTGGTGTTTGCCTGTAATAGACAGAGACCTTATGTAGAAGGTTATATATCTTCTTATATATCTTATAGAAGGTTTTATATCTTCTCAGGATGTCCCTTTTCCTTTAAAAGAGATTTACAAAATTGTCTGTGCCTGGTGGATTTTCCTGGTTGTTGCCTTTTCCCATACCAATTTGCATAGATGTGAGACAAACAAATCCTAGATATCTCACTGGCATACTGTTCTATTTGTCCTGAGAGTCAGTCTGCCTGCTGTTTTCCATTTGTCGTAACATCCTGTTGTATTTAGCAGGAAAAACCAGAAGAGAATCTACTCCATCTTGTCCTGAAAATGGAAACCAACTTGTCAAATCCTTAAACTGTTATGCATAGATTTACCATGTGACTCAACAATTCCATTTCTAGATATCTACCCAAGAACAATAAAGGCATATCCCTACATAAATACTTGTAAAAGAATAAAAATATGTTTTTTTAAGTGCCATTGTACTGAACTAGGCTACTTCTACCAGAAAAATCAAAAGAAAAACCTCTAAAGAACATAAATCCTCGAGTGGTGTGGGTATACTACACCCTCTGTGATGCCCAGGTAAACACATGCAGAACCTGTTAGATGGAGCATCTCATGGATGAAAATCCTGGTTTAAGTATAAAGAGGCTAGAGCCTGAAGGCTTTAATGGAGACCTTAATGGTCACAAAATGCTGTGACACTGCAGGGCAAGATTATGTCAGCATAAGGTCACTGCTGCCCTCTGAGTCACCCAAGCAGATCCTCATCAACATAAGGTCCTTGTCAGCTTAGGATCACTGCCACCCCTGAGTCATCTGATGATCCCTGCAATTATTGTGTACACCCATTAAAAAGTGGCCAGCCTGGAGTGTCACTGTCTTTGTCTATCCTGAGTTATGGACCACCCAGTCCCTTTGTAGTGCATTATTAAATTTGTCTAGGACATTTTGACAATTTTACACACATGCACACATCTTACCTTTCCTTGTACCAAGTGTGTAAACACAAAGATTGCTTCTTGTATCCCTCAGGCAAAGGTACTGAGATGCAAAGCTGGATACTATCATGCTAAAGAGAAAATTTATATAGAAAAGTAAGGGAAGTGTTTGTGGAACCCAGCGTTCTGCATTCTTGGTGCCATGGTTTATGCTGGTGGCCCCCAGGCCTCATGCATTTGCATTATATTTGTAATTGGTTCATAGTCGAGCACTTGGATTGGGGGTATGAGTGCTACACTGGCCAAGAGGTGGAGCCAGGATGTGATGTAATGACAGGAAGAACATGTGTCTCACTCCCTTGTGGGTTTCTAACTTGCTGTTTGCAGCCGCCCTGAGCTGTGGCCCTGCCATGCCAGCCTGCCTTGGAGCCAACTGAGTATGGACTGAAACCTGCAAAAACTATAAGAAATAAACATTTCCTTTCCCAACTTTGGGCTTCAGGTATTTTTTCCTAGCAAGGAGTAAAAAGTAACTAGGACAGAATTTAGTACCAAGGAGTGGGGTCTTTGCTATCCCTTTATCTAACCATGTTTTTCGAGACACTTTGGAAATGGTTTGTGGGCAGATTTTGGAAAGGTTCGGACATGTTGCCTGAATGCCTAGAGCTGGAGTAGCTTAGGCTGCTCTGTAGAGGAGATTCTGGTCAGAGCTCAGGAGACCAGAAGGCTGATAGAAAGCCTCATGGTAAAAACCAGTCTTGGAAGGTTTCTCCTGGGAAGAAGGACTGCATTGGTTGTTGGACTCCCCATGATGTGTGTTATGGCTTGGCAGAAAGTTTGTCTGCATTTTGCTCATGCCCAGAGACTTTGTCTGTGACTGAGACAGAGGGCAATGGACTGATTAATCTGGAAATGGAAATTTCAAGGCAGTCAAATGTTGAGGCTGTGGCATGGCTATTGTTGGCGGCTTTTAGCCAGCTTTATGTTGCAAATCAAGAGCAATGAGTCCAGCAGGATTATTTACAATACTGTAAGTTTGGTCAGAAGGAAAAGTCCAGTAAACTGTGATTTGTAAAATTGCAACTGAGACTTTGATTGCTGTGAAGAAACAGAGAGATAAGAAAGATGGCCCCAGGGCATCCCAGGAAGAGGCTGGTCTCTACCCTTTGCAGGCTCAAAACCGCAAAAGTGAAAGAATTTGCTCAGAGAAGAAAGCTTCAGGGTACCATGCTCCAGAATGGCGATGGAGACCACATGAGGTTTCAGAATGGTGGCAACATAGAGAAGCTTTTCTTCACAATCAGGCTTACAGAGCCCAAAGATCTGGCAATCGACCCCTCCAGCCAAGAGAGAGAAAAGCCTGGCTACTGTTCCAGATGGAAGGAAACCTTGGTGGCATCCACATGGTGTTGATTTTAGATGCAAGGAAAATGCACAAATTCTGAGGGTAAGACAGCTTCCACCTTGATTGCAAAGGGCCTGGGAAGCCAAGCAGTGTGCTCCTGAGAGGGCAGTTTGTAAAGATGTAAGGGTGAAGCCAAAGGTGCAATTGGAGACCCCAAATTTAGAAAAGCCAGGAACGTGGATCATCTAAGGAAAGCTGCAAGAAGTGAGCAGACGGTTTAAGAGAGGAGCTTGGGGAGCTGATATCCCTGGAAGTGCCATGCCGGTGGTATCACTGACATCTTTTGGAGCTTGCAACCAGATTGCTTCAGAGACTAAGCATGGAACTCTAGGACTTAATGTTTGGCCTGTTGGATGTTGGACTTGCTTTGTTTCCAATGCTTTATATTCCCCTTTTTGCTACTTTTGGAATGATAATGTTTATCTTGTGCCTTTGAATTTCAGAAATGTTTAACCTTGTTTCATTTGTACATGGAGTTACAGTTAGGCATTATAACCTTGTTTCATTTGTACAGGAGGTTACAGTTAAGAATTTATCATAGATCTTGGAGACTTGGGACTTGGACTTTTCAGCAATCCTGAAACTGTTAGGACTTTGGTAACTCTTGGAGATGGACTATATGTTTTTTGCATAAAGGATGTACATGAGTCTTGGGAGCCAGGGGTGGAATGGCATGGTTTATGTTGGTGGCCCCCAGGACTCGTGCATTTGCATCATGCATTTTTGATTGGTTCATTGTGTACTGCTTGGATTGATGGTGTGAGTGCTACACTGGCATAGGGGTGGTGCCAGGATGTAATGTAATGGCAGGAAGAAGGTGTGCCTGGCTGTCTTGCTGGTTTCTGGTTTGCTGTTTGCAGCTGCCATGAGCTGCGGCCCCGCCATGCCACACCGCCTTGGAGCCAACTGAGTATGGCCTGAAACCTCCAAAAAGAGTAAGAAATAAACCTTTCCTTTCCCACCTTTGGGCTTCAGGTATTTTGTCTCAGCAACAAGTAAAAAGTACCTAAGACACTGGGCTAACTGGGCTGTCTGCGTCTGCTCACAGTCCAATCTGGCTGAGGGCTTGGTAAAATCAACAGAGGTAAAACCTGTTCCAGTATCTGTTGACACACAAGCATAGCCTCGACCCATGTGTTAACTGCACTGGGCCCCTTTCCTGTGTGGACATCCTTCTGTGAGACTTGAGCCCCACAGTGTGCTGATAGTGAGCCTGGGAGATGGTGCCTCCGCTGCCTGGTCCCCCAGCCTGGCACAGTCATGGGTCAGCGGCTGCCTGGCCCTGGGCCTCTTCCTCTCGGAGCCTTTGAGCCTGGCCAGCTTCTGTGGGGGACAGCACTTGCCCAGCCAGCGTGAGGCTCTAGGTGTAATCCCCAGTACTGGGAAAAGAAAACAAAACGTCTAGGTCTGAGCATTGGGACCCTCCCAAGAGTGACAGAGGTGTCCTCTCTGCCAGGTGCAGCCTGGGTCTCTGCTGCATCCTCCTCGCTTCCCTCCTTCTGAGTTTTATCTTGAAATAATAAGTGAGATGGATGGTATTAGACTAATAATCTTGATGTTTGAGTCACTGTCTTGTGTCGCTTTCTGAGACAGTCTCACTGACAGCTTAATGGTGGAGTGGGTGTTATTCTGAGTCACGTTCTCAGTCCACGGTTGGGGGCTCCAAAGCGGTAACAGCATGGTGCAGGGGCCAGGCCAGAGGACAGCTGCCTACATCTTGGCAGCCAGCAAGCAGACAGAGAAGAGTCAGGGGAGGTTCCCCCTTCCTGCTCACCCCCACTTTGGACCAAACCCAACTTCCCAGTGGCACAATGGACTACTGTGCTCCCCGGTGGATAAGCACTGACAAGTGTGTGCCCTCTGGTCCGTGCCTGCCACACCCTGACACGTTTGGAGCTCACCTAGAGCTCAGCCCTCATCCTCAGCTGTCTCTTAAGGAATGCGCACCTGGTAAGCAGATCTGTTCACAGGAGAAGTGATTGGAGTCAGATGTGCATCCAGGTAACCTAGTGAGACGGGGAGAGGGGAGAAGTAGGTGCTGGGGCCGAGGGTGCAGTGGGCTGCAGGAAGCTGTTAGCCATGGTGCTTTTGTGCATGCTTAAAACTTCTCACGGTATTAAAGGGGTCCAGCAGAGCAATACCTGTTTGTAATGTCATTTGTGTGTTTAAAACAGACTTTGTTAGAGGAACATTGTCGCAATTCTGCTACTAGGTTTTGACCTTGCCTGCCTGAGAAGGTTCCCTGAGAGCTATGGAGATCTTAGTGCTCAGAACCCACCGACCCACCTTGAGCAGCTAAATAGGAGTCTGCCCTGGCTGCACAAGCTCTGCCTGAGCAGTCCTTCTCAAGGCATGGGCTGCAGATGGGAAGCCTGGACTCCACTTGGGAGCCTCTGCTAAAATGCAGCCCCTGAGACTGGTCTCCTCCTGGCTGGGCAAGAAACCCTGGGACAGGAGCCCAGAAATCTCTGTGCTGGGAAATGCTGTGGCTGGGCTGAAAATGGCTGCCCTTCCCTCATCCCTTTTCTCTCGAACTAGGTCACAGTGACCCCTGGCGACGCCTCAGGTGTGTAGCACTAGGTCTTGCCTTCAGGGCAACACTTTCTAGGCTGTACTAGGAAAGCTGTCTCCTGAAACTGCTCAAAGCTTCCTCTCGCTTTCTTCAGGGTTCTGGGTAACAACACGGATCCTTACTCAGGAACCAGGAGGTGACCCCTGGCCAGTACCTTATGTACTTAATGCCTTTGGCTTTCACCACTGGCTTTTGGGTCTTCCCCGTGCAGGTCCTTGATAATGGACTTGCATGAGCAGTTGCCATGGGCTCTAGGTCTTTGGCTGGACTCCTGAAGGACACTGCCATGGGATTGCGGCCCTCAGCTGGATTCTTCGGGTCGCTATCACGTGGACAGATTTCTTGCACTCTACTGCACTTGATTTTTTGAGTGAATGTTATAAAGTAATCCTATAAATTTGCATCCCATGTTAAATCTATTCTTTTTTACAAATCACTGATGGGCATTTGCCGGGCTGGACCTGCTTCAGTGCTGCAGGGTGCTTTCCCAGGCCCCGGGGTGTAGTCCCGTGGAGAGTCTGCATCAGGTAGATCTACAGTGGGGCCCTGTTCCCTAATCATGATCTTGTGAGGGCCTTGGGCAGCTGGGCTGTTTCATTTTGAACTTGGACAGTTTCGGGTGGACCTTGCAGCTTGGAGAGCTCCCTAGATGGTTGTGCGGGAGGCGCTCTGGTCGTCTGGGGCGATGCCACCCTGCCTGGTGTTGTGGTGGCAGGCAGGAGGGACATTTCCCCTGCACACCGAGAGTCCTGCTGCAGGCGGACGCATGCGCAGGGCAGAGCTCCAGGTGCAGGGCTGCGCCTCTTGGCAGGCTCACGCAGCTCAGTTCCTTGTCTGGGGTAAACAGAGGTGCACAGGCTGGCAGACACCAACTGGACGGGGGTGCAGCTGGGAACGAGGGTGCCCCCTCCCTGGCTGTGGGAGCAGCCGGCCCTTCCCTGGTGGGGTTTCTGTGTGGGTGGAATCAGTCTCTCCATGTACCGTCCATTGTGTCTGTAAACCAGACTTCCCGAATTTCTCTTCTCTCCTGTGCCCTCTTTTGCTCCTAGGCATGACCGCTGCCATCAGTCAGATCCCTTGACAAGATAGGAACACCTGCTGTGTCCTGTCCACAAAGGGAATTCGCTGATCCATGGCCCACGGGGCATTGCTCCCCTGAAAGCCCACATGCACGATGTTTGGAAATTGACTGCCACAAACCCAGGCAGGTTTCTGATGTCACTGTCCTGCCCATGTGCCTGAGTGGGGGACAGGGAAGCTCCTCAGGCTGGAAGGGACGTGGCAGCACCAAATCTCCTCACCCAAGTGCAGCAATGGACTAAGTGGGTGTGAAGCCAGGGGAGCACTTTGAAGGCGATTAATAGCAAAGTGTCTTTTTATATAATTTTTTTTTGGAAAAAAACTGAGTATATATTCACTGTATATTTTTGATACAGGGGAATGAAACTCCCAAACTACTAAGTCCAGTATGAGTTCGTGTTCTCGAAAATCGAAGAATGAATTGTAGGAACAATGGACTTCCGGGAGAACATGGCGGACAGATAGCAGCAGCTATGGAGGCTCTCTGAAAGACCCAGTTTAGAATTCAGGAAGGGTGTGGAGTAAGGAATCATAAGCAAGAGGAGATATGCGCCACTGGCCCAAGAATGAACTGGGCTGAGAGAAACCAACTGGGAATGCAATCCGGCTGCTATAACAGGAACAGAAAAGCCTCAGTGTGGAAGATGGAGCCCGAGTCACTGGAAGCCGTGATTTGGGTTTCCCGCTGCCGCTGCTGTGTCTACATCGGATCGGCAGGGAGAGAGACACGCGAAAGCTCTGAAAACAGGAATCAGTGAACGGGGTTGAAAGCAGGACAGGCGGGGAGCTGTGCATTGACCTTCGTTGAGTGAGAGAAACTGGGACTCTTCCACAGTCTAGGAGACTCCAACAGAGGACATTCTGGGACCAGGCAGACTTGCGGGAACAGGGTGCTGCAGTGACTTCAGTCACATATCCTCCTCTCAAGTGGGATTGGTGAGCAGTGCCTAGGCTACGTGACGCTGCTGGCTGAGACCCAGTAGTCTAGCACAACCCATGTCCCAGCACCTGAAGGTAGATTGACCTGGAGTGTGGGCCCCGCATAGGCTGCCTGGTCTGCAACTTCCTAGTGTGCTGCGGTGGGCGGGAACACCTAGCCAGCGCAATGCAATCAGACTGTGGCCAACAGGGAAGGAAGCTGGGCCTCCTATATACGCTTGCATATATAAGGAACAAAGCATATGGGATGAGGCAGCAACAAGAAAGGCTCCTCAGTCCCCAATCCTGAGAAAGAGGCAATAGCGGACACAGCACCAATAGATATAAAGCGCTATCTCCAAAGCTTCATAGGCAAGTCCAGAAATGAAGTTATTAATGACCTGAAGCTAGACATAAGCAGAATTGTTAGAGAAATGCTAAGCACCACCCAAGAAAAAACAGATGGTGGAATGGAAGAACAGAAAAAGAGAGGAGAATTGTTTAATGGAAAAAATAGACAAAGCATAGAATACGTGAAGCAGGTTCAAAGAGATTACCAGGAAACTAAAAACTCTATCGAAAACTGGCATAACAGCTTGAAAAAAACTAAGGACAGATTATCTGAACTGGAGGGAGATTTGTAATATGGGAGCATGAAATGAAAAACTTCTTAAAAATAACAAAGAAACAAACAGCAATAATACAAAGACTAGAAGATGATAAGAGGATCCATAACTTAAGAATTAAGAACATAAAAGAAGAAGTAGGGACACAAACAAATGAACTACAAAAGCTACTCACAGAAATAATCCAGGAGAATTTTCCTAATTTAGCAAAAGGTAAAGATACTCAGTTGTATGAAGCATTCAGGACCCTAGCCACCTACAACCCAAACAGAGCAACACCCAGGCATATAATAATTAAAATTCCAGAAATCCAATACAAGAACAGAATATTAAAAGCCATCAGAGACAAGAAACAGATCACTTACAAGGGATCACCCATCAGAATCACAGCAGACTTCTCGGCACAAAGCATCAAATCACGAAGAGCGTGGGGGGAAATAATTCAAACTTTGAAAGATAATAATCTCCAGCCAAGATTGATATATCCTGCACAGCTCTCCCTGGAAATTGATGGAAAAACAAGGTGCTTCCAGGATAAAGAGGAACTAGGGGAATATGCATCCACCAACTCAACTCTACAGAGAATACTGCAGGATATTCTAAAAAAGAAAAATACAAAGAATCCAGAAATAGTGGCAGAGAGGCCACAATGAATGGAGCAGAAAACAAAATGAAGAAGAAAAACTGACAGCTACTGACAGAAAAAGAGCTCAACAGAAATGAGGCAGAGAAGATTGGATGATAGAAACAGCTATTTTGGAGAAAATGACGTCATAATAGGTAATACTGATTTAGTATCATCTTGTTTTGAAGTCTCATCAAGCTTTTGTTCTTCTGTCTCCATAGGTCTTAACATGTTGTATCTTATTGGATTTTATTATATGTGATAGTATAAACAAAAACTTTTATAGACAAGGAGATTATACAGAAACCATTGTTCATTTTCTGTTAGTTGATTCTAAATACCCTGTAATGCTGTCATTCTCTTAAATGGTTTTACATTGTTTTGGTATATTTGATGCTACATTATATGAAGTTATACTCAAAGATTTCAAGGAAAGAGACACTATGGTAACTACTTTTATGTTGGGATTATTTTGTGGTGAAACACTATTTTGCTTAAATGGTTATGTTTTGATCTGCGCTGTTTTGCTGTTATGCCCTCTTTTATCTCAATCTCCATTTTATTATTCACTTTTTTATTTTTATCCTTTTAATTAAGGGGAAAATAAATAAAAAATAGCAGGATATATTATAGTAACCCACTTTGACTTTCCATTATCTTGATTTAAACCCCTGTATTGCTCTCACCATCTTATTTTGACTGATGTTCCTCTATTCTGTTTTGCTTGATAGTACCAGGTTCGAAAGTTTAGGCAACAGCTGTGAAGATAGTGGGATTCATTGTGACGCCCTTTCTGGTTAACTATTATCTACTTTTGAAGACCTATAATGTCTCCAATATTTTGGTTCTGTTGGTTTTGTTCTTTACTGTTTTGTTCAATTTTATTATAGCTGATTATATAGGCAATTCTATTAGAGATAGCGGGAGGCAGTATGGTAACCATTGTTGATCACCTTGTATTATGCTTTTACATTATCTATTATGTCCACCCTTTTGATTTGACCAACTCTGTTCTGTTATGTCACATTTGGTTTTACTCTCTTCCAAAAAAAGTAATAAGAACTGTGGGAGCAATAAAACTCAAAATGTGTAATAGTCATTGTACAAAAGAGAGGAAAAGAAAGTGCTCTAAATGATATAACTGCATGTATATTTAACTGTGTAAGATAGACAATGATATTACTGAGTTTTGTTGGATCATTGAACAGAACTGTTTGCAGTCTCACTGTTGGAATGTCCACTTTATAAGCTTTAATTTTGTAACTTGAACAATTATTTCTAAGATGATAATATGTAATCCATTAACTAGTGATTTCCTACTGTTTATTTTTTTCTGTAAATCTGTATAACTTGTACCCTTTCTCTGCTTTTTTTTCTTTTTCTCAAATAAAATAAAAAAAATAAAAAAAATTGTAGGAACAATGGGGGTTAAGAGTGGAATACATTTATTGAGGGAAAGAAAGCTTCTGTCTGAGAGAGACAGAAGGGGTATTGAGGCGGTTGCCAGGTACTCTGTCTTTTCTAGGAATTTCTATAGAGCAAAATCATGAGGTTAAATGGGTTAAAGGTGGGGAAAAATGGGAATTTGAAAGGTGGGGACAAAAGATGGAACAGAACTGTGGCCAACCAATAACATTAATTGCTCAAGTAAAATTGATTAAATTAGGAGCCAATGGGGGCTAGTCATGTAGTAAGCACACAATCTTAACAGCAGTGAGCCTTGCTGGAGAGGGTGAGATGCTGAATTCTGACTTCCTCAGGGTGATAGAGAACTATTTGGACTGTGGAGCCTTAGGATGTGGTTCTGTTTGCTTTGCCTTTTGTCTTGCAATCTGGCCCACAGCAGCCTCTTCTAAGGCTGCAAGGTACCTAAACTTTTGCTCTGGCTCTTTTGAGGGCCCTGCCCTGCGTGACTGCCTATAACATTTCTAATTCACTCAGCTGCTGTAACATTTTGATCTCAGCTTGGATGCTGGATGGAGCACCTTGGTACCACAGGACTTTTCCAGAGGGCCAAGCAAAGGGAGGCCTAAGGCCAGCAAGGGCCTCTCTGGGGAGGGTCTCCTAAGCACAGTTTTAGGGTCACAGCCAGGAGGTCTCTTGGATGGACTGGACCGAAGGATGTTTCCAGTGCCTCTGTGGGTTCCTTCTCTGAAACTTACAGCAGGGAGCTGGGTGGGAAGGATGGGGCAGAACTGACCAGCAGGAGAGGCCTGGAAGGCAAAGCTTGCAAAGGGAAACTGAGGCCATTTCCTGCCCTTAGGAGCTAACTTCTGGGGCAGCATGTGAGACTGCGCTGGCAGGAGCAGGGAGGAGCGGCTGGGGGGAGCACTGGAATCAGGGTGAGGCCTCCAGCAGGGGTCACTTACAGGGCCAGTGGTTCCGGGGTCTGCAGCCAGGCTTGCAGGAAGCACCTGGAGTGGATGGAGCTCACTTTGAGGATGGAGCTCACCTAGAGGACGGAGCACAGGTGCTGTCCTGGCCTCACTGAAAGCACGGGATGCATCCTTCCTACCCACTCACCCTCCCGGGCCGTGTAACTGACCACCAGGCCATCAGTGCAGCAAGGATGCCTTTGCTGTGGCCTCTCCAGGAGTAAACTAGATGAGAAAAGAAAATCTAAGGGGTCACCACAGAGGGACAGAGGCTAAACAGGGGCCTGGGCCCTCAGCCTATGACTGCTAACAGCTCAAGTTTTGTTTCCTTCTGAAAAGGCAGTGAGGCATTTAAACTGCTTTTGCTAAAAGACCAAACAAAAGAAAAATAAAACAACAAAAACCACAACGACTGTTCACTTGGGCCTCCTGACACCCAGTGGGGAACTAGAAACGGTCAAAGCTTCTGCCATCTCTGCCTGCGTTCCATGTTAGTTTTTAGTTTCATTTATTTATTTTTTTTGAGACAGAGTCTCACTATGCTGTCCAGGCTGGTCTGGAATGCGCTGTATCTCCAAAGCTGGCCTCATGCTCAGCTGATACTCGTGCCTCAGCCTCTGGAGATCGGTGTTTAGATCCCTGCTGAGCTCTGTGCTCAGACAGGTCTATGCCATGTGGTTCATCAGCCCTAAACCCACCTGGGCTCTCTCATCCTCTTCAAGTCAGAAGACACCAATATAGGAGAGCTGAGGGACACTTGGCCCCTGGCCTTCCTGGTGCCACCTTCCGACCCCTGCAGCTGCCCAGCTTCCCGCAGAGCCTTTGCAAAGCCAACACTGTGTGGGAGCAGGGCTGCTCCTCCAGCCACATGATCTCCCTAAAGCTGCAGAACCAGGACAGTGACAGGGACCACCCCGAATGCAGCCCTCCAGCCACTTCACCTTCCCCTGCACCTCCTTCTCCAGCTGAACTCATCCCCCGCTCTACCTAAAGTCCCACCAACACTTCTGCCTATAATTTTGTTCCTTAGCTTAGACATGTGTGACTGCCAAAGCTGGACCTCACTGCGGCCCAGAACACTAGAGGGCTGCAGTGACCCATCAGAGAAGGCGGGGTGTGGCCCAAGAGCCAGGTAGGTTTTGGGCAGTGCATGCTGGGCAGCCCTGCCAATGGCCACTAACTTTCAAAGCAACAAGGTCAGGGACAGAGAAGACACCTGGAAAATTCTCCATTTCTGTGTTCCTCTTATATTTATTCCCTGTTACACTTTTATATGAAAAGTTATTTTAAAACATTTACCTCTTTGGCTGGGAATTTAGATCAGCAACAGAAGCACCTATCTGGCAAACTCGAGGTCATGAGTTCGATCCCTGGTACAAAATAAAAAACAAAAACCACAATAACAACCAAAACCACAGAAAACAAACAAAAACACCCCTCTCTCCTTGTGCAGCATAGTATGTATCCTCTGAGGCAGAAGCCTCACCAGAGGTTCAAGTCCAGCCTGGGGCACAGTGAGCTCAAGACCAGCATGAGCTAGTCTTGACGGGGGCTACACAGTGAGATCCTGTCTAAAAACACACTGAAGAAACAAGGAAAGCTGAGGCCCAAACCAACACAAGGTTGTCCCACAGCATTTCAAGAATGACTTTCAACACACTCCTGAATGCGCGTGGAAACCTTGCCTTGAAATCCTGTGGGTTTACCCTCAGCCTCCGCCCCTCCCGCTGCTGTGTGGGCTCTGATGACCCCAGCATCAGGGCATGGGCAGCTCTCTTGCACTGTGTGCATAAACATTGGCCCAAAAGGCAGATCTGATAGCGAAGGTTACATATGCACACACCAAAGGAGTGAAAAGCACTGAATTACAACTCCTGAGGCCCAGGGTCCTCTGGGGTGAAGGGTTAGGGAGCCGTTGCTCCTGCCTGCCAGTGAGGCAGCAGGCCTGGGGTGAGTTAGCAGTACCACAGTGGGGTAGAGAGCAGTTCGTGGCCTTTGGGCCGGCTCTGTTATGGGCAGAGTTGAGGGGAGGGAAGGGTAAATTGTTCCCATGGATCCTACTGGCCGTGAGGTGATGCGAAGTGGGAGCCTTGGGAGGAGAGGACCCAGCCAGGAGGTCTCTTGGGTGGCTTGGACCTGAGGATGTTTCCAGTGCCTCTGGGGGCTCCTTCTCTGACGCTTACAGCAGGGATCTGGGTGGGAAGGATGGGGCAGAACCGACCAGCAGGACAGCCGTGGAAAGTGAGGCATGCAAAGGGAAACTGAGGCCATTTCCTGCCCACAGGAGCTAACTTCTGGGGTAGCTTGTGAGAATGCTCTGGCAGGAGCAGGGAGGAGTGGCCGGGGAGAGGGAGGGCTGGAGGCAGGGTGAGGCCTCCAGCAGGGGCACTACAGGGCTAGGGCTTCTGGGGTCTGCACAGCCAGGCATGCAGGAAGCACCTAGAGTGGATGGAGCTCACCACGGGGACCGGGCATGGGTGCTGTCCTGGCTTTACTGAAAGCACGGGACACATCCTTCCTTCCTGCTGACCCTCCCGGGCTGTGTAACTGACCACCAGGCCATCATCACTGCAAGGACACATTTGGTGCAGCCTCTTTGCGAGTAAACTAGATGAGGAAAGAAAATGATTGGGGTCACCCCAGAGGGACAGAAGATGAACAGGCACCTAGG